ATTTATTTAGATTAAAAGTAAATTTTATATAGAAAGATAATTATAGAGTGAGTCGCTTATATATCTTGTTTTTCTGTCTTCCCTTCTACGATGTCGTATAGATGACAAATACGACACATCTATGTCGCAGTTGACTTTAAAATATACCTCAATAAAAGTATAAACTACTGTTTATTTGTACTTGCGGTATCTGTTCTTGTCCAACATCTGATCTTAAAAAAGGTTAAAAACGATTAAATGTTGTTCTGCCTATTAGTTTGCTTGAAAAACTGCTGCTGGAACCGAATTAGATGAATTTTCGTTGATCATATCAATAGCTACTTCACAGTGCAGTCTATTTGATGGTTTGACCATAAGTTGAATGAGCAAATCTCTCAACTTCCAATCAGCTCTGATGCCTTGATAATCTAAGTTCAGAAATTGTTGCGAACATGGATCGTCAATGGCTGCACTCAGTAAGTTTTGTACTTCGATGACAGATACTTGATCAACAACCGTTAAGTGCACAAGTAATTTAGCAGCAGCACAACGTCGTGTTAACGATAACGATGATTGAAGAGTATCGATAAGAAGTTCGTTTGACTGACGTTCTGATACAAATCGCAACTGTTCAAAATGATCAGAACTCCAACTCCATGAGCATTTGAATATTACTTTGAAGAACATGTCCACATAATCAGGGGTAACTTGCTCAAAGCATGCGTACACATATAAGTAATCTGCTTCATCAGATTCACTTCTTTTGCTCATCTCATAGAGACCTTTTCGAAAAGCATTCTCTCCAGACGAACTTTGACGAACTGCAATACGAAATTTATCAGGAATTTCTTTACAAACTTGTTTTGCCACTTGTATATAAGGTGGAACACGAAAGATTGACGTATTATTAAAGCTTTCGTACATATCATCAATGAATTGAGGTAGCAGAACTGACGCATTTTTTATGATCCAGTTACTCGTCCCTTTATATTCATCGCCACGTCGATAGGACGTGTAAATACTTGCATTTGTCATATGCGAGTAGTAAACATCAACAATATGATACTTTTCTGGTTCTGTGATTATATGTGAGTACATGGCGGATGACGTCGCTTGGCGAATAAGTGATGAACGTGTGTGCTTTCGAAGATGATCAAGTTTATTAAATTTCTTTCGCATGAAACGATCATTCTTTCTTTTGAAAAATAAGGACCAAATGCATGCAGCAACGAGTTCATCCGAATCCTCTTGTTCATTATTAATCACAATATTCCAGAGCAAACTCTGAACATGTTTCTCTTCTCGGAAAAAATATAGATTTCTTGCGGCAGCCACTTTACTTTTGGCGAGACAAGTATCAAGTAGAATTCTAGTTAAAAAATCGATGAAACTTTCATTATTTTCGAAGAGCCAATATGGTATATGTTCGAGAAGCCAACACAGAAACAAAACATCGGTGGAATCTGATAAACAAGTTGACAACGATTGCATAAAGGTAATAAGGTAATCTTCAACTTCTGATGAAAGACTTTTGATTAATCGAAAGAATGATACTTCATAATAATAATTATTCGTCTTATCGGACATTTTCGATAGTCTTTTCAAAGATATTGTATTCTCTTTGCAGAATTTGATCAATCTCTTCAATCGTTAGTATAGCAAGAGTATTGAAGAGTTCTTCAACGTCTGAAAGCCATTTTGACGTGTTTTTATTCCAATGATCGAAATAATTAATAATTATATTATTACTTTCTTCTAGATACTGCCATTGTTGATCCTTGATTAGTTCGATAGCCCTAGCTCGAAAATGATCGTACTCACTAGTTAACAGTTCACAACATATTTCGACGATAGTTGGCGTCCATACGTTGGATAAAGCTAACAGCAGAGCTCCCTGGTAAGCGAATGAGCAAAGTCGCTCGTCGTATCGATGACTAAGCCATTGAAGTACAAACGAAGACGCATCGTCATCCATACTTGTCTTTTTTGCTAACGTTTGTTCGATTCGAATGAATTCAACATTTTCTATTTCTGAAATATGAGAAACGATGGTGGAAACCATCGATGCTGCTCCAATGGTTAACACCGTTATCGGATCTTCTTCAAGACTTTCCAAACATTTTTGACCTAAAGACTGTGATGTTAGGTAGTTGATAGTCTGATGCGGTGTTTCTTTGATAATAGAGTCATCGAGAAACCGCACATATGAATTCAATTCACACAGATGCATACTTGCTAGAAGAGTCGAACGTATTCTTGTTATATCGGAAGTTGAGAAAAACTTTGTGGAAAGATGTTTCGAAAAAATTGTAGATGTGTATTGAAAAATCTGATTTAACTTCACCGCATTTATTGAGTGTTGTGTTTGGTGCACATATTGACTAATATCATGCCTCAACGAAGGAAATAAAATGAGTGCCTCACATATAGCTTGTTGTTCAGCTACTGTTACGGTCTTCAGTCGTTGTAATATATTATTGATCATGCTCTTTTCCAATGGAAAATCTTTATGGATAAAAGTCATACAACGGACGAGAAGCGCAACATACGTTAAAAGTGGGATTGTCGGTTCGAGCTCTTTCAAAGAGGTCATCAAACTAACATAACGTTCTCTATGTTGATTGTTTATCTCCTTATCTGAATTAGTCGAAAAGAAAATACAGCAGATATTTATGGTAGCATCTAATCTCCAAACAGGTTGTTTTATTTTCTGAACTGCGATCCATAGCTCGTTGAATTTCGTCTCCAATATTTCCCGTTGACTGGAGTCGTAACTACTTTTGAAGAATCTAGCTGTACAACACGAGGCAGCATACAATTCTAAATCAGTCTGTGCATGTATCATACGATGTTGCTCTTCTATCATAGCTAACTCTTTGGCATGCTTTTCTTCCTCATAACTGTCTATACGTATGCTACTTGCAAGAAACTGGAAACAGTTGTCTTTGTACGCTTTGAAAAATTGCTTATGGTTGTGTTCAAGTGTTGATATACTGATAAAAGGAAGAATAAAGTTTTCTATTCTGTGTTGTGTAACTGTAGGTAGAAGAACTGTGTATAAAATCCAAAAACGAATAGAATACGTTTCCATCGTAAGCATGACACAAAGAAATTCGGTTAACAAATGTAAAAATGGTAAAATAGATGTCTCATCGAAAGAGATCTGATTTTGTGCAAATAATTGCATATATAGACTTTGAACAGGATTCGGAACGTAGGCAAGGAGAAGTGTTATTGGTTTATTTTGTAGAAGTTGAAATGGATGTGTTCCACCTTTTAAAGATTTCAAATCTTCTGATTCGAGTTCTTCGATCAATATGAGTCGAGAAGACGATGGGCCGACACAACATATAAAAGGCAATAATCGAACGAGTTCTTTTTCGCTGCAATGAGTCATACTTGATAGTTTAATTGCTGGTGGTATTTTAATAACGACTAGAAGACTACGACTACTCTCGAAGTAACGTGAAATTAAAGAAGACGTCTTGGCGCGTAATAATTCGCAATAAGCATGCGAAATGGATTGGATAAAATCGAGAATATTCTCCTTCGCATCAACGGCAAAATACTCGAAAATATCAGTCAGATTAGTTCTGAACTTGGAAAATGGAGTGATGCAAAAGAATTCACGTAAATACAGGAGAACAACTTTCATATGACGTACAGCCTGTTGCCAGACTTCAGATCCGATATACTGTTCATAGTTGGCGGATCGATCAATGCTATAAAAGCAAAATAAAACAACTAAACTGTGGACCATCTGTGGAGTTATGTTTGTTGTTGATGTGGCGATTATTTTTTCACATTGATCAATTAAACGTTTTAATTTCAGTGTTCGTTCTGTAATTGTGTCCTCCATATATTCAATAAAATATGGGGAAAGAGGCGAATCACGATGCATACGACGAGCTGCAAAGATGACTGATATTTGTCGTTTTCTTTTTGAATGATTTAGCTCGAGACCTCCGTACAAAGCGACAATAGCAGTTAATATAGATGCATGAATTTCTGTTGTTGGAAAGGATTGTGAAAGTAGATACGCTCGCATACTGCCTGGATGTGTAGGTAAACGATCATAATCTATCGTACCAATTGTCATTAAGATTCGATCGACATAAACATCAACTTCTTCGTTGTATAGACCATATTGTCTCCAAATAATTTCACAAGTAATTGATGTGATCCATCGTGGCATTGTTGGACTTTCACGTACTGCATTATATAATATACGTACCATTTTCAAGGTAACTGTCGGATCTTCTTTCAGAAACGAATGGTCAAGCCAGTTATTCACTAGTGGAATGGGTAGTCGAGCTAGAGCCATTCTTAACTCGTTTTCAAAAATGTAAGTATTCCCATTCTCATATATATGAGCATCTAACAAAGTATTTAACATATTGTATACAATTGACAGTGACGGTAAACAAGCTAAATCATTCACAGCACTGACGAACCATAGCGATCCCAGTGGTATATGTTTATTAGCAAGATTAGTTTTAGATTGCAATTCAATGCAAAAGTCATCGTAGTTTTCCGAAGTCCAGTGGAAACTAATCCATCCCATGACGAGATTAAGAGGTTCTCGTAATCGAGGATTCGAAAATAGTGAGAGAAAATGTATTACTAATTTTTTAATATTTTTTTCGATACTCGAATTATCGATGCTCACTAGAGCATAGAATACAAAATATTCTTGAAATGTCAAATGCAGAAAACTAAATACTGCAAGAGCTCGTGCAGCAACAATTCCTGCATCTTCACTAAGTAGTTGCATGAACTTTTCTGTGTGCTGTCGAATTTTCGACGAACTATAAGTCATACCGTTTGAATTTTTATCATACCATAGCTTAAGTGATAAATAACATAGATGATTTAAATCAAATTCGTCAATGAGACCGGATCCTGAATGAGAATGAATATAAAAGGCCATGTTTGAAAAGATCGATATTAATGCATCTTTAGGAATATTTAATTGATGATATTGCCATCTTTGTAGCATTAATTCTACAACTTTTTTGTACAGTTGCACTCGAGTTATTTCAAAAGTGTCAACGCCATGTCGAGCGAATAATGTACAGATGATTGACAGAACAGATGGATTTGATGCCAGTGATCGTAGTTTTTCATTTGTCTCGATTTTTGAAATAAGATTTTTTGCTTTTAAATTCGACTGATATTTAATTTTATTCTCTTTAAAATCGAGTATATATTGATTGAATAAATGAATTATTTCATCTTGTACATGTAAACACCAATTTTTAACAAAACTATGTAAATATTCTACATTCATTGGTTGAATCGTGTAATGTGTGATTAGTTCACCATTGAGAGGATGTATAGTATAATTAAGAATTCGACTTGTTATTAAAATAAGATTTCTTCCAAATAAACCTTCACGTCGAAAATCAAATTCAAGTTCTTCTTTTGCCATAAAAGCATCGTCGAATGGTGAAATAAATTCATGTGACATACAATAAGATTGGATAAAGACGCGCACTAAAGCAATTACTCGATTATGCAATTCAGTCGTTGCTACTTCATCCAATCCGTCAAGAATAATAAATGCATGTCCATATCGAACAAAATCTTTCAAAATCTCAAATCCATCATTGACATAAGCCTGACCAAACCAAGTATGATAACCAATATAGTCCAATAAACTCGAAGTAGAATGATTCTCCAACCACTGAGTAAACTCTCCAATTCGAATTAAGATCGGAATACGTACAGGTCCCATATCAATACCATTGACAGTAATAGTCTCCTCTTCGATGAATAAAGCTCGAGCAAATTGACAAATTAACCATCGTGCAAATGTTGTTTTGCCACTACCTGCACTACCGAGAAGTACATTCCAACGATCATTTCGAATCGATTTAATAAGATCAATAAAATCTACATCTATTTCTTTTTCTTCTTTGATTGGCTCATCAATATGTTGTGATGGCAGAAAATTCTCAGATTTATTTTGTCTATATTGTAACTTTTTATGACAAACTATTTGTGGATTAACTAATGGAATATCGAAATGAGCAAAAGATTGTTCTATTAATTTTCGTTCTTTTTCATTAACATCAATTTTCTCTTCAAAAAAATATTTAACAAATTCATCAAAGTCTCCACATATGCCGTTGACTTTCAACGTAGAATGGAAATTTACACATTGACGAATATATAAATCAAAGATATCTAAACAATTTACTTTCAATTCAGCGAAACTTTTTTCTTTGGATTGAGACAATTTTAATTCGTTTATACGACGTTGAAGGGTTATTTCATACTCTAGCATATCATTATCATAATTTGTCAGAACACTTGTACTAAGTAATCGTTGGAATTGTTTCTGTCGCTTAATTAAGACCTCCTTGATATTTTTAACATTTACAGAAGATTGTTGTGTGTATATATCATGATCAGTCAAATACATTTTCATTTTGTCAAGTGTTCGTATTAACAAATGTCCATATAGATAAAATTGTTTTTCATTGATCACCTTGTTTTGATCCTCGTTTAAAAAACTCTTCTCAAGATTTTCTATCTTTTGACGTAAACTAATAAATACATCGATTTTAGACTCATCCGATTTAATAGTTATATTATCAATGGAATCTTCATCTGAATCAGAAGATTCGCCATCTTTAGACAATTCGTTTATAATGGGTTTATCATCTTTAGGTTGCTCATTTAGCTCGATAACTTTTTCATCTTCAGGTTGTTTATTTGACTCGGTAACTTTATCATCTTCGATAATTTTGCATTTTATACCCTCATTAATCGTCTTTTTGTGATTATTTTTACTATAGATCAATCGAATATCTTCAATTTGCTTTTTGAGTTCAGTAAATCGTTCTTTCACAACTTCTTTCCATTTGTCTCTATAAATATCAATCAAAGTTGAGTGAAAAAGGCAAAAATTATTTTCATACTCGACCAGCTCCATCGTGTTGTCTATTAAATACAATTGCTATAGCGCGGTTAGTAGTTGTAAGAAATGTTGAAGTATAGAAGTATTGCAACAACAGAAGAGAAAGCTACAGGCTAAATGCCACTCGACGTTCGATTCTTTATTATTGTCAACGGCTGAAATTTTCTTTCAACTCGAAGAACAAATACAACTTACAGCGTTGTTGTACACATGGTATCATGGTGAACAGAAATGAAACAGCACAGCATTTTTTTTTGTTCTGCTGTAAGAAGCAACCAAAAAAATGTATCACTAGAATCCTTCAGTTTGAAACTGAGGGTGAGTAAAAGATAGCACGACGCGTTTCAACTGTTACTCAGGCAGTTATTCTTCAAGTAGTTTATAATTAATTTATTGAGGCTCTATATGAGTATCCGGGTGTAATTTTGAAACTTTCAAATTTGGTTCAAAAGCTTTTTATTTCAATAAAACAAACAAAATCACATGACAAATTCAGCCTTAATCAACTCTACGAATGCGACGAAGACATTCTTGAACGAGGTTCGGCAGTTGATTCTAAAAACCACTTTCGCCACATAGCCATCTACATTATCGCTTGAGGTACCCATGATACGCTTGAGTTTCGGCTTGATGAGCATCGAGAGACATTCGCACTTGTTGGTGTGGGTGGGAGTGGGGGTCAATGAGAAGAGGAACACCCACACCCTTATTTTCTGGAGCTCTGAGATCTTCCTATCAGTGTGAAACTCTAACTAAGTATTGCTAATCAGTTTTTTCCAATGTTTGTGAGAACATATTCATACGAAAAATAACAAAAAAAGGAAAAGAAAGATTTTAAAAGTAAAGAGGACGAAGAAGGACCACTGCGAGATCTGTAACTTAATCGAACTTAAACAATGCTTGAAAAAATAATAATATGACAAAGCACTTATGATCATTTTTAATATTGAATATTTTTACTCATTTATAAAAATCTTCTAACAACCTTTAATAATCTTTGTATCAAAAAACAAACTTAACGTCATTTTAACCCTTTAGAGATCATAGCTCAACCAGTGGATGAAATTTTCTAATGATTTTTTGTTTGAGGTTAGTACTAAGTCTTATTGTTATATGCGTCGAAACCTTTTGAAAATCAATGAAGCTACGTTAGTTTATGAAGAAATAGATTTATTCACAATATTATATACAAAAATATACAATAACAATGTTTAATTATGCACGAAATATTTTTATGATATTGAAATAGCAAAAAGAATATAAAAGATAAGATGATTTAGACGACCCAGACTAGGCAGTAATTATTACGATTTTGTATTTGTACAAAAATAATTCAAATAAAATACTTAGCTGATCCACTTTGAGAAGTTTCAGAAACTGAGATAGACGTCGCGTAAATCTAGTTCATTCATAAATGTTTATATAGATATAGGATAGATCTAACCGTTCATCGCTGCTCATATCCATTATATTACTCTAATCCTAAAGTGACGTGAAAATACGTATAAATTGTCTTTCAATACTTCATTATGTTTATCACATAAGTAACCTTATGATGTGTGAAACTATTATACAGATGTATGTAGTAAAGTATCATCTACACAAATTATTGAAATATTTACGAACTAAAAAAAAAATGTGTACTTTATAAAGTACACTGGTTCCCAAAGAGTTAATATTTTTATTTCAAAAACTGTTATCTATCGTTTAAACAATTTTTTTTTCAATAATAAAAAATGGTGTTTCAAAAAAAATCGAAACTAAAATAGCCGCAACATAACTAAAAAATATATGTGAAATAAAATTATTTATTACAAGATGTCCTTGGTAATAGAAAGGCATAGTTTGATTGAATATAATTATATGAAGTATCATAGAATGAACTAAATAGCATGAATAATTGAGTCGAGCTAATGGAGTCCAAATAGGCCAAGAAAGAATCTTATTTACTATTCCACCTTGATTTGTACTACATACAAATAAAAGCCAACCAATAACAATTGACCAAAATGTTCGTGAAAGTGATATATATGCAACAATTTCTGATCGACTTAGACCAGGTACATGAATGCTATTAGGATGAGTCGTAAATAGACATGCTAAAGCAATGACAATAATCAGAATAGTTACAATAATTTTACTGTATCTATTAATACGATATTGACGACCAGTAATTATAACAATATATCCAGTTAAAAGTCCAATACTATATGCAGATATACGACACCATGGTTTAATATAAACCATTTTGTAGAAACTAGGACCACCCTATGACAGAAAAAAAGAACAACGGAACGATCAATCAACATTGTTCACTAGAAAAAAGCTTACATTATCAGTTAAAGCAGTCGGATCATTGAGTGACATATTCGGATAATAAAGAATAATACCTAAAGTCGATCCAATTCCAACGAAAACAAAAAGCGTAACAATTAGAAATGATAAAGTCTTTCGTTCAAGAGCAAATGGAATTAAAGTTAATGGTGCAATCCAATGAAATTGCATATCATTATGTAGATACCATGCAATATTTAAACACATATCATCTGGTCTTACTATATTACCTATATAAAAAATTGATGTTCACCAAGATCGTGTACGACAACCTTTCGATTCAAATCCTTGTTCAATTGGATAAACTGGTCCTCGTCCAAAATATGGTGTTAAATTTATACTAACAAGAATCATTAGGAGAAATCCAGGTGTTAATCGAATATATCGATGAATATAATAAAGAAACATTAAACGAAATGATAGATTTTTTTCTTTTTTCATTTGACGAATAAATAAAATTGCAGTTAAAAAACCACTTAGAACAAAAAATGTATCAACACTAAATTGAGCACTTGATATTAATTGAAATGCTATATTACGTGTCGAAACAAGAATATCTGTTACATTACTTGTATAAGATAAACCAAAAAGTACTGAATGAGCAATAATTATCCAAAATAAAGATAATACTCGAATACCATTAATAAATAAAAATGATTCATTCTTATCATCACTAGTTTTTTCTTCCAGTGTAAATATTCGACGAAGTGATTTTAATGCAGAAAATTCTGCTAGAAATACTATTCGTGATGTTCGATTAAGAGAAAAATATCTTAATATTCGACGTGATTCAGTTTGACCAGTCATTTCACCATCATTAACTAAATGATTATATGCAGCATTATATATTGTTAGATTATCAATTGAATCAAGTTTTGACATAAGGAAAAGATCAATGATTGTTCCAATAAGAACAAGTAAACCTAAAAGTGAGAGAATAACAATAGTTGTTATTGCTCCATTGGTAAGACCTTTTTGTCCATTCGGTGGATCCTTAGAATAAACAAGATTATCTTGAGTAATATTAATTTTTTTGAAAAGTATATGAATTAAAGAGATAAGTGATTGTCGATCACATGATGATGGAACACAAAGACCAAAAACAAGCGAACGCATTGAATTTGAATTGGATCGAGATGCTGTTGGTTTAAAAGTACCTAAAATAAACTTTCAAATATATTTTGCAATAAGATAAACATACATACAATGTTGTGTATTGAATGGTTGGGATATAAAAGATTTATTTGCTGGATTATACATAGGTTGTATACATTCATCATAATTGCCCACCCAATAAACGTTACCTTTGAGTATACCAGAAGGTAATGGTTTTCCCCAAGCATCGAGTACTTTGATTGCCCATGTATCTTTTTCTATTGCTGCTCGAAGAATTAATTCAAAATCTTGTTCACATCGACTAGTCTTGTTATTTAATAATAACAGAGACATATATTCTAACATTTGTTCAGGTGTAAGATTGTATTCTACATCTTTAATTAGATTACTCGATGAAAAATATTGATATTGACGTAAATGATCAATTGCTAAATCAAATCGTAGTGGAATGAATTGTGAATTTGTATTCAATAGTATAGAAAATAACAGAAAAAGTGTAATAGTCAACATGGTGATTTTATTGTAAACTATTGACCAAAACGTTACATTATATTCACAACGGTATCGAATGATGATTCAGTTGATACGAAAAAAGAAGAGAACGAACTTTTTATCATCTGTCTAAATGATTAATAATTACAAAACGCAGTTCTATAATAGGTTGCTGCTGCGCACACCTTAAGTATGCGTGCACATTTTTTAGTAACAAGAGAACGAAAGAAAAAGTGCTTGTTTGAATTATGGTCGAGTTTCAACTATTATTCTTTTCAAAAAACAATAGGTGTGGCTGTTTTTTGAATGACTTGGAAATGGAAGTAGCTAGCGACTTACGATTTTCAGCAATCGATAGAGGCTCATATAGGACATATGTTTATATAAAAATCACCATTTAAGTGCTCAGACATAATAGAAGTAATTGTGGCATGACGGAAAGAATAGGCTCGTTATCTGATGAAATCTGAGTAGATCAAGCTGAAACTTTGAGTATATATAGCCCAACTGTATCCCAACCATCCCTAAAAATATCATCGAAAAATCTTGTAATAGTGAGAAATGGTGTGTCAATCATCATCTGACATTACATAAAGCTCTCATTCGCTTAATATATGGGCCAATAAGCTCAACTTTTGATAGAATAAATACCATAGTCTACACTTTATATCCATGCAATAATATCATACTTTGGCCATATAATTAACTACATATGGCGAAAATATGGCTAAGTGCTGTATTTTCCCTAAGAAAGTCGGTGCGATTTGGTCCAAAATATGTAATGAGCGAAAACTATTCTTTCAGACAATTTTTACTGCCTTTGGGTGAGTGCGGACTATGGTATTTATTCTATCAAAACTTGAGCTTATTTGCCCATATACTAAGTGAATGAGAGCTTCATGTAATGTCAGATGATGATTGACACACCATTTCTCACCATTAAAAGATTTTTCGATGATATTTTTAGGGATGGTTGGGGTACAGTTGGGCTATATATACTCAAAGTTTCAGCTTGATCTACTCAGATTTCACCAGATAACGAGCCTATTCTTTCCGTCATGCCACAATTACTTCTATTATGTCTGATCATTTAAACGGTGATTGTTATATAAACATGTGTCCTATATGAGTCTCTATCGATTACTGAAAACCGCAATTTCATCAATGGAATTAAAATTTTAAAAATACTCACGAGTACTCATAATTCAAAGTAAATATATAACACTAAAGATAACAAATGTCTTTGAAGAAACAGATTATCTAATAGTTCTTTATCTTGTCTCAAACAATAAATAAAAAACATTGCTTTTTCGTTCATATTTTCTTTTATATTATTAAAACAATAAATCAAATGATAGTTTTTTTCAGTCAATTAATCTTTAAATCATATTTATAACATTTCTAGTGGATAGCATGTATATTGATCGAACTCGTTTGACTATAAAAATGCACCTATGAATTTCTTAAAACATCTACACTATTATGCAGCGCTTTGATATGATATAATCGAATATACAATTTCATATTATTACTGAATTCTCTGATGAACGTATTTTCCAGTCTTAAGAACAAAATCTAAATGCATTTCAATTGTTTTTCAATTCACTGAAGAGAAACTTCTGCACGACAAACGTTGTTTAGAGTGACTCAAGCATCAAATATTTTTAATTAATACTTTAGTTTTGTTTCTGCAGAATCGCAGTGAAGCCATGGAACATGTTTTATTGAGTATAAAAACAACGAAAATGAAATTTTGTCTCACAATCTACTAAAATACAGTTGAACAAGCAATCATGTTTGACACCGAAGGACAATTTCAACGATTTGGTCAAAAAAGTGTTATGGGTGTGGGTGTGGATGCATTGTTTACTCATACCTATATTGCATACCCACACCCATACCCAAGGTCTATCCTATGGAGTATCCATAGCTCCTCAAGTCCTGTGCTATGAGGGTATTCATAAGTCTTCAAATTCCATACTATGAGGGTACCGAGAAGTTATGGATATCCCCTTGGAATAGGCCTTGGGGACTTATACATACCTCCATAGGGTAGATCTTTAGGATCTTTGGATATCTTCGTCATATAGGGCTTGAGGACCTATGCGTACCTCGATAGGATAGACCTTGAAGATTTATAGGTACCGCCATAGGATATCGTTGACGGCAGCTTATTAATACTAATCGATGAGTTCCTAGAATTGATCTCTTCGGACAGATCAGATCGTATCAGAGATTGATTTGAACAGCTCTTCGGATCGGAACTGTTACTAAATTGTTCAAGTCCTAGTAGGGATGTAACCGTAAAGGGTGGTCCAAAAGTTTCGATCCCTCCTCGTAGATGGATTATATTTATTACAAACTTATATGCAATTAATTGGTCAAAATATGTGATTTTGTAGAGAAAAAGACGAGCTATCTTTCTATAACAAGATGCTTCGAAATGCTTGAGTATAAGATAATCATATGACCATTTTATTCATCTCGAGTAAGCTTTTCTCATTTTGCGTTTTTAAAAGAAAATATGTATATAAAATGTTTCTCGAAAAAAAAAAACATCTAAATGATTTATAATTTTATGATATAAATATGGTTTTTTAAAATTATATCGATAACCACATTGTTTTTTGTTTAAGACTATCAATAATCACATTTTGTTATGCGCTGACCTCGTCTTCGAACAATTGCCTTTAACCTTTTTGGAATACTGTTGGTCATTTTCATACATTTTTCTTCACTAAAACTTTCCCATATATCAATAATTTTTTGTTTCATATCGTGTAATGAATTAAATTCATATTTACTTAATTCTTGTCGAATGATACTCCACAAGTTCTCGATGGGTCACACATCGTCCATTTTGTATGAAAATGTACGAAAATGATCAACAGTATTCCAAAAAGGCTAAAGGCAATTGTTCGAAGACGAGGTCAGCGCATAACAAAATGTGGTTATCGATATAATTTTAAAAAAGCATATTTATATCATAAAAGTATAAATCATTTAAATTTTTTTTTTCGAGAAACATTTTATATACATATTTTTTTTTAAAACGAAAAATGAGAAAAGCTTACTCGAGATGAATAAAATGGTCATATGATTATCGTATACTCAAGCATTTCGAAGCATCTTGTTATAGAAAGATAGGCCGTCTTTTTCTCTACAAAATCACATATTTTGACCAATTAATTGTATATAAGTTTGTCATAAATATAATCCATCTACGAGGAGGGGTTGAAACTTTTGGACTGCCCTTTAGTTTATGTTGTCCTATTCAGCAGTTTTTGACAGTCGAAAATTTATTTCTTCGAAATCTCACACGAGTAAGGAAGCCCATGCAAGCGTAGATAATCCATACTAAATGCCAACCATATCTGCACAAAATATTAAGTCGATAGCTACAAGAATTGGAGAAATTGCTCCTGACTATCCTTTTCTACCTTACTGTAGAGAGAGAGAGGGACGCGTCACAGTGGGCAATCAAGCGGACACGACCAAAAGTTCACTTTATCAAAGATCAAATATCGGAATAGATATATCTATGGTTGACCTATCTTACCCTAAAATAAGAGTTTCAGAAATCAAGTCAAATGCTGGAAACGCTCATTGCAAGAAATGTGTTTATAAATTGGTAATTATACGGAAAATCATTTCTGTCGCCAAGTTATAGAATTATTTTAAAATAATAAAACTATCTGAAACGAATAATTGGCTTATAAACTTTGTTGTATGAGCAAATTATTTCGATAGAACTCGAAATGGAATAGCAAAACAGTGATTACTGGACCGAAAATATGTCAAAAAATCGGTCATACCGTATTCTGTAAACGCTCAACATAACTTAAGTTTGATTTATCTCAAACTTTCACTAATTATTCTTCTATATGTGATGTATCACTATGATAGCGCCGACTCGTATCAGTTAGCCGAAACGGTCCTAGCGATTTTCCAAAGAACTAGGTTTCTGCCCTGGAATCGTTAGTTTTATGCAGATAGAAACATTTTTCAATAAAACAATGGTAATATTCGGATTCAGCTCGCCGAGCTGTATCGAACTGTATATAACATTAAGTATTCCTCAAAAAAAAAAAGTTGGTTCCTGTATTCGACAAGATTCTGACATCTAGTCTTTCTGGGTATTTTAAACGCTCAATTCAATTCACGTTCGATTGATCTCACACTTTCGCTAATTATTCTTCCACATCTAATCCATCGTTGACCATAGCACTACTTCGTTCCGACAAGCACAGCTGGTTCTACAAGTCTCTCAAAAACCGAGGTTTTCGCTCTCAAATCCCTATTTTTATCAATAAGGCATCATTTCGGTGCAAAATACAGGTGATATTTGGAATGAGGTCATCGAGCTGCATCTAATCATATAGAATCAAAATGGTCTTTTTGTTGACTTTTATGTAAGAAAAGCTCAAAAATTGAGTCATATCGTATTTTTCGAATGCTACAAAGGGTTTTCATCTGATTAAGTACAAGTCTCTACCAGGCGTAAATCTCCATGTAAATTTATCGTTGGTTATCTAGATCGTATCGCATTTACGATCACAGATGGAATTTAAAAACACCCCTAAACCCATGCTTTGAACTTGAAATTGCTATTTTTGTCATTAGGATAGCTTTGTCATGTAAAAAGAATGTGATATTCGGAATCAATACATGAAAATATGCTGAATGAGATGCATCGCGATAGGTTTTCGGACAAAAATTGTTTTCGAAAAATTAGTGCCTGAATTCCTCACATATAGTTTTCGCAAAAACTTTTCTTCAAAAAATAGTTTATTCTGTTAAAGATTATTTTCAAGTGATATATAACTCCTTTTGACTAGTAAAAAAATTGCCTACTGCGCGCAAGGTCCCAGGCGAACAAAGAACGGGTAAAAAGGTTAATCTCATATCTAGTCCTGACGGCACATCCAGTATAGTCTTTTTCTCAAAACGGACTACTGCATGACTAATCTGAAATCGTTTGAAATCTTTAGTCCCCATCTGGGTATCCGTTCGAAATA